GAAGCAATGCCGCATTGCTGCTGCTGCTGCTGCTGCTGCTGAAGGTGCTGCTGCTGCTGCTGCTGCAGTTGATGCATGTGGGGTGGCTGCAGCAGCAGCTGCTGCTGCTGCTGCTGTGGGATCTGACAGCCATCGCTGCCAAAGCTGCTGCCTGGTGCTGCTGTTGGTGCTGCTGCTGTTGCTGCTGTTGCTGCAGCAGCAGCAGCAGCAGCAGGTGCAGCATATGAATATCCTTCCTGTGTCTTATCTACTCCATGCCCTCCTCCTTGCTGCAGTTTTGCTGCGTCTGTGTGGGCACTCTCGTGCTGCTGCTGCTGCTGCTGCTGCTGCTGCTGCAGTGGCGAAGAGGCAGAAGCATAGACAGAGTTAGGCAGCAGCAGAAGTGGTTCTTGCTGCCCCCATGGAGCAGCAGCTCCTGCTGCTCCTGCTGCTCCTGCTGCTGCTGGTGTTGTAGCTCCTGCTGCTCCTGTTGCACCTGTTGCTGCTCCTGTTGCTGCTCCTGTTGTTGCTCCTGTTGCTGCTCCTCCTGCTGCTGCTGCAGCAGGCTCGAGTGTATGTACATCTCCGCTGTATGCAGAGAGTCTCTCTTCTGTTAATGGTAGCGCAGGGGCGCTAAGAGCAGCGGCAGCAGCAGCAACAGCAGCAAATGCTGGTGCAGCAAACCCTGGAGGTGGTGCTGCTGCTGCTGCAGGAGCACCGGCAGCTGTTGCAGCAGGAGCAACAGCAGCAGCAGCAGGAGGGGAATCAATAGGCTCCTCTCCTGCCTCCCCGTCCTCAGAGATAGGAGAGAAGCCCGGAGAAGACATTATAATGAGGTGTACATACACCCGAACAAGGTATAAGAAAAAAAAGGAGGAAAAAAGAGATAAACTAGGTGTATAAATATAAATTAATAATATTTATTAATTTATTTTTATTTATTTTAATTTATTTCGCCTTTTTATACCTTTATTTATACTTTTTATTGCTTTTTTTTACCTCGGGGCTGTTGCTGCTGCATGCATGCATGCATGCATATATATATATATAACCGTGTTGCTCTCCTCCTAACCACCAAGAGATAAAAGGAGGAGGAAAAGAAGAAAAAATAAACTTTTTATTGCTTTTTTTGTATTTATTTGTATATTTTGTCCTTTTATATTTATTTAATTAAGAAAAAATTTAATTTATGGAGAAAATAAAGAAGATTGACCTTTACAGGTCATTAACACAGGATAAAGATGAATTTCTTCTGTTTTTCTTCTTTTTTCTATTTATTAACTAAATAATTATATTTATTTATTATTATTTTTATTTATTTTTAATTATATTTAATTATAATTAATTATATTTTGTTATTTAGTGCGAATATGCTTTATCTTTGTGCATAGAGCTGCATATAAACCGCAGATTCAAATATTCACGATGTAGCGATGCTGGCTATACACCGCAAAAAGGAATTAATTAATTAATTAATTAATTAATTAATTTATTTATTTATTTATTTATTTATTTATTATAAATTAATTAAACAGTAACAACATAATAATCCTCTATTTAATTATTATTTATATAATGCCCCTCTTCCTTATGCAAATATATATATAAATAAACTGTCGTACTCTAAACCCTAAACCCTAAACCCTCGTAAACCCTAAACCCTCGTAAACCCTAAACCCTCGTAAACCCTAAATCCTAAACCCTTCTACGTCGTAGACCCTTCTAAGTCGTAAACCCTAAACCTTAATTATAAACCCTAAACCCTCAAAGGGTTCTTCTTATGCCTATGTTATAAAAAGGGTTTAGGGTTTAGGGTTAGGGTTTACGGTCTAGGGTTAGGGTTTAGGGTTTAGGGTTAGGGTTTAGGGTTTAGATATATAGAAGGAAATAAATATAAATAACTAATTAATTTAATTATAATTAAATATAATTAAATATAAATAAATATATATAAATATAAATAAATAAATATAAATAAATATAAATAAATAAAATAAATAAGAGTATATATATAAATAATATTGCGGTGTATAAATACTGCAGCAGCAAACTTTGCTGCTGCATCTACTGCAGCAGCATTTGCTGCTGCTGCATCACGGTCTATAGAAACAATTGCTGCTGCTGCTGCTGCTGCAGCAGCAGCAGCAACTGCAGCAGCAGCAACAATTGCAGCAGCTGTAACTGCTGCTGCTTGCTGCTGCTGCTGCAGTGACACCCTGAGGTGTACGTACACCTCAAGGTGCCTCTAACTACATTTATTTTTTTTTATTTTTATTTATTTATTTATTTATTTTATTTATTTATTTATTTTATTTATTTATTTTATTTATTTATTTATTTATTTTTTTCTTTTTTTGTGTTTCTTTTGTGTCTGTTATTTCCTCATCTTGCTGCCTCTTTTTCTTTGTTGTTGCTGCTGCTGTTGCTGCTGTTGCTGCTGTTGCATCTGCTGCTCCTGCAGCAGCAGCAGCACGATTAAGTATCTCCTTAATATTATTAATTCTTTTATTTATTTTTCCTT